AGGACATTTTTATGCTGGCTTGTAAGATTCAGTCCTTAATATTTTTAGGCATAATGACTGATAGCCAAACAGGAATGCTTAAACACTACAGGAAAGCTGCAGGGTACATTTATGATCATAAAATATGTAACTCATGCATAGCATCTTTTTTTTAAACATAGGGAGTGATGTACACCAGTGAAATTTATAAGGGTCTTATTGTACGATAAATGATGTAGAAATGTCCATTGGGTTTTACGGTGCAGTTTTGTTCCAAGGGTAAGATTTCTTTTTTATATCATTTTCCTTCTTACACCATAAATAATGGGTCCTGCTTATGAGATAATCAGGTGACTTGAGTCCAGGTTTTTACAACAGCTGCTCTGCAAGCAGTCAGTGGAGGGTATACAAGAGGGATCCAAGGTATTCTTTCCTTCAGTTATCCCTGCCATCCTCTGAAATGCTTTATTGTTTTCTGACAGATCTGCATGGCAACATGGCTGAGAGATTAGGATTCAACCGCAGGAAAACTAGAGACCATTTATCTTTCCAATCAATAATAACAATGTAAAATGAATGAAGACATGTAAACCATTTGCAACTGAAACCCTGAGAGAATATGTCAGGTGATACTGGCTCTCTATCTGTCAATTGCCTATTACACCAAAAAGCAAAAATAAACTATAAGGGATCACAAAATATAATTACACCAACCTAACGATCATACTGAGGATTCTCTGGTATCTCCTGGGTTAAATTATAGTAAATTTTATTTACATGACAGGTATTAATTTGGGTCTATACCGTATTAATGTATTTGTTGTGAATTCATTTATTACTTATAAACATTGGGACAATATTTAATTTGACATCTTTTTTAAAGCAAAATCTCATACTTCTGGCCTGTAGATTTAATTTTGTTTTATGACAAAGTAATGTGATTTGTGTAAACATCCTCAGTTAAATCAGATTTACTTCATCAGAATGGATTACAATACACAGGACTAATTATTGCCTGCTTTGTTAATGAGACAGGCAGCTCTTCATCAGAATTTAAATTGGCATTCTGACTTTAATCTTTAGTGTGGAACCTAAGTGTGATTACGATAATCTCCAGAAGAAATTATTCAGAAACAGCCCTATGTTTGAGGATCAGTAGTGCTCTGAATCCTGTCAAGTTTATGATTTCACACTTGAAAAAACAAAAAGGAAAATCTCAATCTCAGATTCTGGAACACTCTCAGTTTTGGGTTCAGTAGATACTTTTATTGTAAAGGTTAGATGAGGATAATTTGGCACTGCTTCTTGGATCATTCATGTTATAATGGTGAATCCCTACTGCTGTTCACCTTATAATGGCACACTGAGAAGCATTAGGTAGATTAATTGCCTTCAATCCTTTTTGCACCCATCAATATATGTTACTGATACCAAGTGGGGAAGGATGCCCACACAAACTCTTCTACAAATGCTGATACAATCTTGAGACCAGTAAATAGGTTTATTACATATTAGTCGGGAGCTAGTTACAATACATTAGTTCCATTGTGTTAGTAAGACAATCAAGTTTAACTTAAGATGAAGTAAACGTCACTACTTTGATTATATGCTGTCATCTTGTGATGTCAGTTAAACCTTTCAGGCACTAACAGTCCTACACAACAATTTAAATACATTTTATTGTTCAAAAATAGTCACTAACTCAATTTGCTCAACACTGCTTTACAGATTCAAATTAGCATCTCTGAGTTTTCTACAGTATCATTTTCAGATGTAGACTCCCTTTATTTTCATTTATTGGGAATCCCCACTCCTTTTGCCCTACCTTTAGTGGTCATAGTATTAGCCATCTAGGCCCTATACTCTGTAAATCCCATCCAAAGCCCCACCAATTCTCTACCTCTCAATTCTCTTTAAAAAATCCAACTTAAAACCTACTTCATTAACTAAGCTTTCAGTCACTGCCCTAATACCGCCTTCTTTGGATCAGCATCAATTTTTGTTCCATTAAACACTTGTGAAGCACCTTAGGAAATATTGTTTTGTTTAAGGTGCCATGCAAATGATGTTGTTGTTATATCTATGGCCTAAGAGCATGTAACTGTGCAATTCTTCACACAGTTTATTTCGCATTTGTGATTTGAAACTGAATCCTTGATGAGGAATTATAGATGCATATGCTCAGTGAAATCAGAACTTTAGTAGCTGAGGATGAGCTATTACTACTGATCTCATCACACAAACAGGTACTTTCGTAAACAATAAGCCAGTGATTTCCACTGATACTTTGTCTATTATCCATTTAAAATTTGACTTACCAATTTTATTCTGGAGTAGAGTTAATGTTAAATACACAGAACTTCACAAAAATGTTGAGTGGATAGGTGCAGTTGCTTTGTGAATATTGTACAATTTAACTTTGAATTAAAAATCTGCATCTGTAAATATTATATGATACCAATATTGTGGTGAGCAACTAACATTCACAGATGGTTCAGGTCTTAAATTGATATCAATATGATTCTAACATTGATCCAAGTTAACCACATCATCCCACAGAACAATTAGGTCATCAAGGTAAAAAGTCAACCACAATGATTGTTTCCTATTTTGTAATTCCAATTTTGGGCACCTTACCTATTTTTTTTTCTCCGCTTCATGCTTGAGCCCTTCCAATTCTAGTCCTACTTGATGTTCCTCTTCAATTTTGTTTTCAGCTCATTTGTACTCCTCTTGTCTCTGAGTCAGGTGGGTGCAATTTCATGCCATAATATAATCTTCGGTGCTAGTTATAAATCTGCTTTTCAGATGGAATGTTAAACATAGGCCGTGCCTGCCTCTTCTGGTAGGTATAACAGTTTGAAGAAGAGCAGTGATCCTTCCTGGCGACCAAGGCAATATTTCTCCCTCAAACAACATCCCATCACAAATAAATTGTAATTTATTTAAATTACTGTTTCTGGGGCCTCGCTATGTCAAAATGCCTATAGCATTTGACTACACAGTAACAGTGAT